GACTCACACTGGCGACCGTGCCTATCTGTGCCCCTTTGATGGCTGTGACAAGGTTTACAAGCGCTCAGACTTTTTGACCCGCCACACCAACTCCCACTCCACTGCTTCATCCTCGATGCGCCAGCCATCCGCTCGCTCTAGGGACCGTCGAACTACCCCGCGCGCAGAACTGCTGCTACAGTCAACGTCTTCCTCGGAGAGCGATGACGATCTAGCAATGCAACCATCCAAGCGCCGCCTGTCTGCATCTGACAGCGACTCGTACCAGCCGCCTTTGTCGTCAGCCTCGGAGCCCACTGAGGCCATGCTCGAGGCCCAACTGGCCTACATCCGTGAACAGGTCTCGGATCGTACAAAAACACTCACGCGCATCAAGGAAAAGTCGCGTCGGCTGCGTTTAGAAAACGACATTCTCATTGACTCTCTTGAACTCTAAAGCAAATACATTAATATTCAAAAAAATAAATAAACTTTGCAAAAAGAAACTCATGCCCCATGCCAGGATCGAACTGGCGACGTTCGCGTGACTCTAACATGCATTGTAATACATAAGCACGACGCTCTACCAGCTGAGCCAATGGGGCGTTCAGATCGAGCTAAGTCGAAGAATTTATATTCATAGGCCTTCGCTTGTCTATATAAGCTAATGGCGTTCTTTTTCCAGAAAGACTTGGCACGCGAGCCTTTGTGGTGAGTGCTCTCAGTATCAAGCAAAGGCTAAAAGAGAGCCCCTTGCAGCTTTGGCGTCGTTTGTCCATTGTCGCCCGACGTTATGCCTGCTCCCTGTACGCTTTAGCAATCGAACATTGCATCCAGCTAGTGAGCTGTCATGTTGGATTAACCATGCCCTGCACTGGTATAATTAAAGATCCTCACTATTTCGTCACCTTGGAACTTTTCTTTATTGGCATTTATTGTTTAGACCTTCACAATAACAAAACTACAACCATCATATTCAGGCCTGGAATGATTAACACAGACATACTCTAATACATTATGCTTAAGCTATATATCGACTATGAACTCTGACTCTGATGTGCTTGCATCCTCTATGGTTCTGGCCAAGGATACGTAATTATTACTCTGTATTTTTGAGATTAATTTTTGCCCGAAAGTCTTTGTTATTTGAACTACTGAGCATTATTGTAAGATGTCAGTCACATTAACATGCTGGTTATATTGCCAGAGTGCTGCTGTAGCCAATGAACGTCGTGCACTGATGAACATAATAGCCA